TGGAGACAGGAAGTGTGGGCGGTTACCTTGGTGATGAGGTCCACGAGCGGCTGAGCTCCCAGGTCCTCGATCCTCTGCGTGTTGAGACAGGACATGTAGTAGGACTGAGTCTTCCTCTCTGCCTCGCTGCTGCTGATAAATGTCTTGTTCTCTGAGGAGGAGAAGAAAAACCATGAGAGCTGGATGGGTCTGGTCTGGTCTGGTCCAGTCCGGTCCATCCCTCCTGTCGTACCCAGCAGGTGTTTGAGCAGTGCCTGGTTCTGCTCCCAGAGAACGTCGGAGGTGTCCCAGCGAGGGTGTCCCTGAGGCAGAGGATTCTTCCTGATCCACCCCCCGCAGGAGAACTGGTAGAAGTCCTGGCAAGGGTCTGCACTGCGGTCCATCGCCTCCATAATCTGACTTGTCACCGTGATGCAGGTTGGAGACAGGCACAGGCCACGCCCACTGTCTGCAGGACAACATGGAGGACAGGTTGACCATTAAAGGTTGGACCAAACGGAAAACATGAGAAAGAAAAGGACAGAAACTGAAACCAGATATCCAGGAGGAGAAAAATAAAAACAATAGGACACAAAAGAAGAGGAGACGAACTAGGACAGGAGCTCTCTGGGTACCTGAGCTGGATCCAAGTCCCAGAACCACCAGGCAGGCCACCAGAGACAGCCGGAAGACCAGCAGCATGACTGAGAGCACAACCTCCAGCTGGGTCCTTCTGCAAAAGATGTCAACGCCTCCTTTCCTGAAGCCCACCTGAGGACCAGAGAGGAGGAGCTGACCTGGAGTCTGGACATCCAACAATCATCCAACCATCATTCAACCAACATCCAACCATCATCCAACCAAGTGACAGAGACGAGAAGATAGCTGAATTAGACAGAAAACTAGATGATCTGGAACAACACGTAGAGAAGATCTGTTAATTACTTGACTAGAAATGAAACACTAAACCTATGCTCGAGTTGTAGCAAATGGAGACACCACAGAGGATGCTCCTCAAGAAGAACTGCTCACTCTGGAGCAACAGGGACTGGCATTTTTTTTTTAAAGAGGGACCTTGACATGAAATCTGAAGACATTTCGACCTGTCACTTTGCCAATTAAATCAGGAAAAAATAAATCTATTGTTGTTTGTGTGATGGATTGAAACAGCACACAGTATGTTCACATTCTGTAACACAGTGACTGAATTGAGATTTTATTGATTTAAAAAGGATTTCATGTTAAATTGTTTTGTTTTGTATTTGGGAACAAGTATGRGAATATGAGCAAAGTTCATAACAGAAATAGTTTTTGTTTAAGTTAAATACAATAACAGCACTGCTAATTTTGTGATGATTATGAGCGTCAACTGTTCTGATCAGCTAGTGAGCCTGAGGCTCTGTTGCTCTGGGATCGATTATCTTGYCTACCACTGGGGGGATTGCGCCATTTTCCTCATTGCAATAAACTCACTGCATGAGGAAACATTGCTGGCAATTACTCTCGTGATTCTTTCCACCCTAATTCAGGTAATGTTTTATGTAATGGATATTTGATGCTGTGTACGATTGTGAGATATGTTATTGCATGTTTTACGATAGTTTGTGAAGGAAAAAGTTAAGCTTATTGTTATTTTAAGTTGCTTTTATKTCGCCACGTGCCGTGGGGTGAAGCACACGCTCGTTTTCCCCACTAGGAGGTGCTAAAGCTAATGGTTGTAAAAGTCAACATTCAAGCTGCATTTATAGTTTTAATTTGGAAGTTTTACCAAGTGTGTTATATTATTGTACTCTTTATAGAGTTAGACATTTAACAAAAAGACCGAAATAATGTTTTGTTATGTGTTTGTTACATTTGTTCATGTGATTGCAATAAACTCGCTGCACGAGGAAACATTGCTGACAATCACTCGTGATTCTTTCCACCCTAATTCAGGGGTACAACATTTGGTTAATCAGTAGGAAAGCGAGAAATAGTCTAATGGTCCAAGCAAAAAAAAAAAAAACACTGAAAGGAACAAAGGTTTTTTTAAATGAACATCTAACAAAGAAAAATGGAAACATCGCCCATGAGGCAAGGTTGTTTAAGAAACAGAGAAGGATTTTTGCAACTTGGACAAGAAATGGAAACATCTGGATTAGAGTTAAGGAAGGGTCACAAGCTACATTGATAAAAGAACTGAAAGATTTAAATGTGAATTCAGGAAGTGACAAATTACAAAATTAGGAAAAAAGAGCTGAAATAACTTGGTATTTAAGGAAATAAAACATATGGGCAAATGAACTTGAACACNATAAGTTGTGTATATCAGTCACCAGATTAAAATATAGAGCTTTTCACCAATCAAATCATGGAGCTCTTTGAAAAGACTCTTAACAAAACAGTTTTTCTGTGTGGAGATTTTAATATTGATCTGGGAAATAAAACAGACTCAAATAATATTGGTACATTTTTAAATTCAATGTACAGTTTAAATCTTTATCCATTAAAAACAAAACCAACAAGAATCACTACCCATAGTGCTACAATAATTGATAACATTTTACAAAAATAACAGAGAGATAATGGGTGGTATTTTAAAATAATAATAAAAAAGCAGAAGCACTCGGAGAGTATAAACCTCCGCCAAGACCAATTCCCCCCATCCTGTAAGAGTTAATGTGCAAAAGCAGAGATGGAAACACATTTGCCAAATAAGTTCTGACGTAGCGAACATTCAAGCAGGCAGTATGCAAGGAATTTCTTCCCGGTGGAGTCCAATGTGAAAAAAAAACGTCAGACTCGTAACCCGAGGTTATTCATGGTCAAACTGGTGTCGAATTAAGCTCCTAAGTTTTCATCAGTTACATTTCACCATGTAAAATATCTGTTTTATCCCCTTGTATGAGTTTGAAATGGTTTGACTCTCTTTATAAAGTGCTTCCTGGCTCCCCCCGTGTCCAAACTTTGAGGCCCGGCAGCTCTCTTTTTACAAGCCTAGTAGCGAAAAACTGTTTTCATTGGTTGTTTGGGAAATGTGGTGTGTTTGAGGAAATGGGAAAAATAGGTTTCATGGTGCAGTCACGCACTTCCTGGTCACAAAACATTCTGTAAATGCGCATATTATTGCAAAAATTATTCATCATTAAATCTGGTTTTAACATTACTTTATAAAGTTTGAAGTCCGTGCTGTCCAATCCATCTCACTGTTTTTTACAGCAGCCCTGTGAAAGCATCACAGCTTTGCCGATCTCAGAGTGTTAAAAGAAAAAAAATTCCTGTATCTGCATTGTGATCCGGAACGTCACCAAAATTTAAACGTATGTTCCTTGCCCAGTATCCACATGTGGTAAAAATGTCATGACAATCCGTCCACAAGTTTTTGAGTGATGTTGTCCACAGACAGAACGACAGAACAACAGACAGACAGGTGCGACCAAAAACATTACCTTGCCCTTGGCGGAGGTAATGAAATAGTGACACTTAACGTCCCGCGAGGGGAAATTGAGATTTCTACATTTAACCCATTGCATATGTGGAGTGGTGGGCTGCCGGTTTTGGCGCCCAGGGGCGGCTGGTGGGTTGGGGGCCTTGCTCGGGGGCCCAGGGTGGGGCTGGTTGGTTCGGGGAGTCGAGCCGGCGACCATCCAATCACATAC